CGGTCCCCCTGGTCTCGCTCCGCGGGCAGCCTGGTCTCTGTTCTCGTGGGGCGGGCGCGGGGCTTCTCCCGGGGGCTGCGAGCCTGGCGGGGTTTGGACCTGCCCGCGGGATAGCCCGCGAGCCAGTTTGGTGGTGTGCGGCACTTCCTGGAAAGCTCACAAGTCGCCCCCAAAGACGTTTGGGGACAGTCTGTCCCTTGCCTTTTTCCGGGGCCCCCCGAAGCCCTGCAGGGCGATGTGCCGACATGGGCCTGTTAGAAGAATAACGTTTTGGGCGGTTGGCTTTGCCCGGCCGCGGCTTTTAAAAGCTGTAGGTGAAGGTTTGTGTCGGAGTTGTTACACAGCCTGGGTGGTTGAGGGCTGTGCTCCAATACAGCGCTCTGAAATGACTAGTCACTAAACACGGTTGCGTGTGCTCCACCACGTCTCTGCGCACGCCCATCCGCACATTGTTTCATAATGACCATAGACTTAATTTTTTCGTAAGGGATGCAAATTCCTTTAGCCGGCTTGTGAAGATGGTAAAACAGTGCCATTTATGGTAGACGTAGTGACTACAGGAGAGGCTTCAGGTCTTTTCCTGCAGTCGCCTTAGCATATTCCACCAATACTTAAGACTTTATCCAAATGAAGACATCTGGGCTTGGAGGTTCAGTTCAAGAAGCCAGCGAGTTAGAAGTTGAAATAAATGCTTTGAGGGTGCCTTGCAGTGGCAAAGTGATTATGCTGGGCCGTTGATACTTGGATCGGTGCTACCACACATACTTTCGAAGAGCATTTCCATTATAGCATAAGCCTATTCTGGGGGCCTTAAACCGGCTGTGTCCCCTAGTGGCTTCGAACTTGGGATCTTTCTCTCTCAGCTTCCCCAAGTGCAGGCATTAACAGGCTTGTTCCACCTTGCCTGGGCTTGAAAAATAGTTTTATTGCTTCACTTTTACCATAAAGCTCAACAAAAGCAAAAACCAAATACAGTAGTATTGGTTGTTGCATTATTCTCAACCTAGAATTCAGAACCAGCTAATCTGTAAAATAAGATGATGTCCTTCAAGGTTCTGTTCTATGAAAATGTACAGTCAGCCAGAAGTTTATAACTTCAAGAAGATTAATACAGATACTTAGAGTGCCTGCTGGCCTTACTAGATGACACACATGCTCCTGAAGAAAGCCAGGTTTTCTTATGGGGACTGTCAGGAGGAGGAGTGTGCTTTTATGTGACAAGACACTCTGTTGTATGAGGAAAGTAGTGCGCAAAACACGGTATTTAGAAAAAGCTGTTTTTTATTTGGGGTTTCCATGAGACAGGGTCTTGCTGTGCATTCCAGGTTGTCCTAAAAATCCTGCTTCAGCCCTCGGAGCACTGGAGCACACACTCCTTGGCCTGTGTCTAAACTGTAGGCTCTCAATTTGGTGTGGTGGTACACTGTAGAGGCAGAGGCAGAGGCAGGTGGATCTCTGTGTTCAAGGCCAGCCTGGTCTACCTAGCAAGTTCAGGGCTGCTAGAGACCCTGTCTCAAACAACAACAGCAAAACCCAAAAATAATTTTTTAAAAAGTGTCTAAGATCTCTCCACTGGGAACTGAGCTGGAGGCCAAGCTTAGGCTAGGCATAGCAGTCTTCTATTGAACTACATCCCAGTCCGTTTTTATTTTACTTTGAGATAGAGCCTCATTAAGCTGCACATCTTGTTCCCCTCTCCCCCTGGTCTAGGACCCACCCATGCACCTTGAATTGGCTGTGTAGTTTAGGCTGGCCTCCAATTTGGGATCCTTCTACCTCAGCTCTCCAAAGTGCTGGGATTATAGGCATGAGCCGCCATGCTTGCCTGGGCTTGAAAAACGGGGACGGGGGTGGGGGGGTGTTGTGTGTTACTGTTTCACTCTTGCCAAAAGGCTTAACTCACTGGAAGCAGAACGAAAAACAGCCTGCCTAAATCTTATCATGGTATTTATGTTTAACGGTTTTTGTTTCTAGCTTTTTGAGATAAGGTCTCACTTTGTAGCCTGGGCTGGACCCAGACTAGCAGTAGTTGACCTGTATAAGCTTCTCAAAGGCTTGGATTGTAAAACGAGCTACCATGGGTGATCTCAGTTTTTTTTAGGGATGCTTGCTGTGTACATACTGCTCCTGGGCTGTCTACATTTCTAGGGACCTCATCTACCTTTTCTTTGTGGATGGATGCTTTGTAACAGGCTTTTATGCACTGCCTGGCACACATGCTTTCAGTACATGTTTGTTGGTGTGATGTTTTTAGCTTTTAAGACAACACCTACTAACACGAAACATTAACTATCACAAGGCATATGTTAAGTGACATGTAAGTAGTAAAAACAGTACTTTCAGCCAGGAGACAGCCTTATATACATTTTAAGGGCAGTAGTATGAGATAAAGCCAGAATGTTCTGGTAAGCTCTTTACAAGATGTAAAGAGCTTGGATTCTTTGTAGCTGCAGCAGAGTGAATAAAAAGAACCATTTATTTATTTATTTACTGGTTTGGGTTGAGTTTTTTAGGTTCAAACCTAAGGAAGTTAATTTCATTTGATGAAGTTGGTAGAAGATTGTCATGGTGTATTAAAATCTTGTCATTTGACCCACTAAGTATTTTTTTTTATATTAGATTTACTGTATTTTATGTGTGAGTATTTGCCTGAGTATTTACCACTTGTGTGCCTGGTTCTTATTAATATCAAAAGAAGGCATTGAATCTGGAATTGGAGTTGCATATGGTTGTGAACCACCATGTGGGAGCTGGGAATTGAACTCAGGTTCTCCCAAAGAGCAGCAAATGTGCTTAACCACTGAGCTATCCCTCCAGGCCCGCTAAGTCTTAAGTGATTTATTTTTGAGGGGTGTAAGGGAAGAGAGTTTGAAATGGGGTCTCTCTGTATGTTAAGCAGGTCTGGAACTCAGTAGTTCAGGCTGGCCTTCAACTTTCTAGTCTCTTGCTTCAGTCTCTGCAGGGCTGGGATTACAGGAGAAATCCAGCATGCCTATTTTATATAGCTTTTTTGATTGAAATTTGATTACATCCTATAGTGATTGGTTGCCAAAGTTTTCAGAAGATAACTAGCAACAAAATAACAAAAACCCAATAGCACTAACAGAAAAAACCCTAGTAGCAGGATAACAAAAATCCTCCCCCTTTTTATTTTGAATACAGGATCAGAGAGAAGAAGTTGATTTGGAGACTAATGAGCTTTTTTTGTTCTACCATTTGTGTGTCTTTGCTGGCTGGGAACCATTACAAGGAATGTCACATGAAAGAGCCCATGTGACAGGATCTACTTGGGAAATCTGGCACCTGAAACTTAATGTCTTAAAAAAAAAAAAAAAGTGAGGCCAGCAATGTTGAAAGCAGGAAGATCAGGGCCTTAAGGTCATTGGCTACAAATGGAGTTCAAGGCCAGCCTAGGATTCATGAGACCCTGTCTCAAAAAACAAACAAGCATTTTAAGTGTTAGCATGCTTTCATTTGAAATGACCAGTGGAATGTACATTTTTTTTTGAAGTGTAATAATTTATTTAACTAGTTTCTTTTTTTGTTGAGAATTTTATGAGTACTGTATATATAATCTTCCTACTGTAACCCCCTCAATTCTTCCAGTGTACCCCCTTTTTCAAATTCATAGTCTCATTCTTTATTATTGTTTCATATATGTGTGCATACAAATTTATAAATATAACAATGAGTTCATTTAGTATTGCTTATCTGTATGTGGTAGAGCTGACTACTTGGTTGAATGACCTGTCAGGGAGCTCATCCCTAGAGAATATTGATTCTGACTCTCTTAGCAACCCTGTAGCACTTTATATTGGAGTGAGGCCTAGAGAGATTTCACCCATCCATGTTGGCATGTCAGTTGGTAGTGATATTTTTCAGGTCCTGTTTAGGCAGCCATATTGAGTGTTCATGGGTGCAGCTTTCCCGTCACATATAAAAGACATTGTCTCACAGCAAACATCAGGGTCCTTTGGCTCTTAGAACTCCCTCTTCGTCCAAAATGTCCTCTGAGCCTTAGGTGTGGGCTGTGTTGTGGATCTGTCAGTTGGGCTGAGCACCCTCATTGTGTTGTTTCCTGCATTTTGACCAGTTTCTGTGGCTTTCTGTAGTGGTGGCTTTCCTTGAGGAGGGTGAGAGCTGTGCTTGCAAGTGTTTAGAATGCAGTTAGAAATTACAGAGTTTGGGGAAGTGGCAGTTGTAGGTTCTCCTCTAGGTCCCTTGTCCTCACCAGCTACAACCAGCCAGCTAGGATTATAGTGCCAAGAATGAATTCCCTCTGTTGAGTGGCCAGAAGTCCAATTGGATATAAGTGCCGTTAGTACATCTTTAGGGATATCTTGCTGTTGTGGTTCCTAGGCGCTACAGCTTGTTAGGACTGTTGATTGCTTTTCTCTTGGCAGCTTGCATATGTCTTCAGATACTCTGAGAGCTAGTCCTTGGGGAGGAGACTGATAGGTCATTTCCATCTCAATTCTTCCAAGAATTGAGTGTGTGTCTTCACCAATAGGGTCTTACTTCAGTTTTTGGGAGGCTATCAAGGGCCTTGACAATAGCTTACTTTATTCTTGTGGTCTCT